ACACATACACATACACATACACATACACACACACACAAACACACACACACAAAATCGCTGTTCACCCCAACTTCTACTAATCTCAGTGTGCATCCAACACTGTGTGACCAAAGATACTAGAACCTGTCACACTGGCAGGTTTCCTGTTTGTGCCTGGATTGTTCAATATTTAAAACTAAATATTGGGCACTTATTTGCTTATAGCTTATAATCAAATGACAGAATAAGCAGATGTTTCCTTTCACTAAAGGTAAGAGTTTCTCATAATGACACCAAATAAAGGATACTGCTCCTAATGGAATAAGGTGTACTGATAACAACTTGGCTGGGAGATATCAAGTGGCAATCACTGGTACTCTGTACCACCTGAACTACTGAATTGCAGGTCAAGAAAATCTTCCCTGGGAATGCTAAACAATGCGCTAAGGATAGAAGGAAAAGAAGCTCAAGGTACTTTGTTTCCAGCTGCTGCTTGAATACATGGTCTGTAAACAACATACAAGGTAGCCTCAGAAGATGCAATGAAGTCTCCTTTCTATGAACAAAGCCATTGTTCTATGTAGCCATAAAGAGGCAGTAGAGCTCTTAGGACACCTACAAAACGGCCTAGCTAGACTCTTAAATAACTTAGATGTCTGATTATGCTAACTCCACAAGTAAAAATAATACTGGCATTGTGGCTGTGGGGTTTTGGCAGGTTGCACCCTTCTAACAGGATCCTGGGGCATTCTCATCTTTGTTGACACACTCTTGGTTTTCAGCTAAGGCTCTAGGGTCATTCAGGCAGGCATACCCTTGCAACTGATGTTAGGTATTCTCGGTACCTGCACTGACAAGTCTCTGGGCCTACATCCAAACATGAACATAAGATAAGAGGAGAGACAGAGGGCAAACAGATAGGGTGGGAAGGTTGCATGTTGAACACTACAGCCACTTTGAGATTTAGCAGTTTTAATGTTAATTGTTAAGTCAGAATTTTCTCCTTTTTTAAATTTCTCCTCTTTAGTACTGTAATACTTTTAACCCTCTCATTATTAGGTTGTTTCATGGCTCTTGACCTTATACACAGGGCTTCATCAGTGACCCAGATTTAAATATCTGGTGAGTTGGTGGGTAGTCTTTTTTTATACTTGTTTGATGAAGAGAAAGTTATAAATAAAAGAGAAAGACCCTATCTGTTCTCTGACCTATCTGTATTTTCTTGTTTGTTGTCAGCAATACCGAGATATAGGTAGTCCTATTAGCATGTTCTATGGTGACATTCCATTGCTGATGGGACTGAGCAGAGTAATGCTTTTTTAAGTTATATGGTTCTAATTCATTAGTGATGGTATTAGAAATCTCTTGGCAACTGTCCTGCCGTTGGGAGCGGGAGTCCTACATGCTCTACGCGCTCTAGTAGTATGTGTCGCCATACATATTAGCCTTACCTGGCAGATCAAATGGTTTGTTATGACGGCTATACACATGACCAGGAAGTAACGGGTTAATGACAAGAAAAAATGACATGGGGGTGGAGGGGTTAAAGTGATATGTCCCCTCTTAAAAAGTGGAAGTCTAATCATGGGAGAGATTCTTTTAAGTGAATGTTTATCAAAAATGAATACAAGTCAATATTTCAGAATAAATTGATTGAGTCTTAAAAGAAGCCAAGAAAAATTATGCTTTAAGAACAAAAAAATAAAAGAGATATCTATCTTATGTTAAGAGAAGGTTCTTGCACCAACATCAAATCTAACTTTATAACAGTATTTGATACAATACAATATATAATATGAGGCAACTTAATCATACAGCAAAAAATGAAAATGATGCTATCAACCACATCTGTCAATGTGAAATATAATTTCTGATTCTGATGAATGGGTACTTACCATGACTGGTGCCATTCCTTGGTTTACTTTCATGCTTTCTGCATCTGCTACTGAAAAATTGGAAAATCATTTATACTGCACAAAACACCCAATATATCCAGCCTCCAGTATGAGGGAAAATAATACAACATATACAACTAAACTAATCAACAGTGTAAATTATCTTACCTTGTCCCTGTCCATCCCAAGTATCTGGTCTGCTGGGCATTGATGTGACAGGTGGTGGTGGCGTGAATTCTGGGGTACCGCTACCATCTGGTACTGGAGTGAAAACCTGATTGAACAAGAAAAATGAAAGTAATATCATACATAATATAAAAGGAAGATGATACTTACATTTCAACAGAAGCATTTGAGACAGATATGAAACTTATAAAACAAATGAATTCATCCAATATAGTCTTCCAAATCAACACTTATTTTGAAATTAACTGTGAAAAATTTGCTTTTACTTTATCTGCTGGACACTGCTGACAAAAAGAGGAGCTGGTATATCAAAACACAAGAGGCTTTCCAAAATGCTTTGGTTTTATCTGGTCAACTGACTTTCTTTTCTTCTGCCCTAAACCTATCTGGTATTGATTTTATATTAAGCCCTCAATGATGGTGTCAGAAATCTCTGACTC